AATAGAATAGCAGTGTAACCAACGATAAGACATAACCTAAAAAGGAACTGTGTACAGAACAATAACTGAAGTCTGGTCTTAATTTGTCTTTTCTCTAAAGCTTTCACACCCTGTGTGCACCTACATTAACTTCAAGACAAGTCACACACACACGGTCATCTCTACAACCCAGCCTCTCTTCTATTCATATTCACTTGACATCTATAATTGCCCACAGTTCATGTTCAATTATTCAATTTAATTTAATGAAATGTCAGAAGAACATTCATCATCTAAATATATCAAGATGTTAAACTTGAATTTGAGCACAGAGTCAGAACATTAGTTTACACTGAGGATTTTGATCTAATGTCAGAAAAGAGGAATGTTGGTTTAGTTTCGAAACATACATTTTTAGAAAAGACTGAACTATGAATTATGGAGTTATAATATAGACATAATTTTTGTGTTCAAACATTACACAGTGACCATTTCTACAGATTAGTTTTGTCAACTTTGATTGGAGACAACTGCTATTAAAAGTATGATGTGATGAAAGGAGCCTAACCACCTATCTCCCTACTGGGCTTTCAACCATTGTCGGCAGTTTCAAGTCTTTTTGTGTAAAACGGCAAAAATGAACTAAGGGACAGCTCATCATCCCAGGAAGGTGTAAAATGAATGTTGGTACCCACCACCATCAAACACGTTTTGGCGTTTAAGACAATTAATGAACCTTCAAGTCCTTCAGGGCCTTCAGCAGACCCAGGTGGTTTCGAGTAGAAAATACTGTAATTTATTTTTATGATTTTGAATATTATTAATTATTTGACATACTGGCTGATTTTTTTTAATTGATCAAAGGTGGCTGGGGGGTTAATAACACGCTTTCTGTGGTGAGACATTTTACTGCCTTAGATTGAACACGACAATAGATGAGAGTTAGTTGCCATCTAAATATAACTAATTTATACAAAGGGGTTTATAATCTGTCCCATCTGCTCATATGTTCTTTTCAACACATCCAGTGCTGCCTTTGATGAACAGAGGCATGTGGGACTGCTGAGAGTGTGAGTGTGTGCGTGTGTGTGTGTGTGTGTGTGTCTGCATTTCAGGGAGCGTTGTGTGCAGCGATAAGAGGCGAACAGGAAGCACATCACTGCAGAGGAAGGAAAACCCCAGCAATGGAGGAGGGGGGGGTGGCCAAGGTTGTGGAAGGGAGGCAGGAGAAACAGTAGTGGGTGGTAGGTGAAGTGGTGGAAGTTTCTTTTTTTTTTTTGGGGGGGGGGGGGGGGTTCGAGTCTCCTGAACTTAACTAATGTGTTCATTTGAGTGGTGGCAGTTTGTACAGACGCCAAATTAACTTGTCCAACAAACCACAGCTCGCAAGTTTTATTCTTTATTGCATGTGTGTTCTACTTTGTCTTGGAGTAGTATGGCGGACGACTGTAAGCACAGATCAGTGTGAGCCGAGGGTTACAGCAGAGTCATGGACTTGCCCACAGAAGATCCTGCACAATGCCTAAAGCTTGATTGGTCCATCACCCTCCCTACCTCTTCCCAGCAACCTCAGATGTTGCTGGGCTTCAGCACGAGGCCTCGAGGGAAGCCATTGCAATTGTGTTCAGTGTTTTCGATATGGTCAATGGTGTCCCTCCTGGCTGAAAAATAACAACCCATAACCAAACGATTAGGGAGAAAATGATGGTGTGTATTGCCTGCATTTCCAATGTTAATCAGCTGGGGAGCAGTGGCCATTGTGATGTTATGGCTCGGCACCTGCAGGGGAATAGAGAAGGGTTTTTCCTTTTTCCGTACAATTTATGGATCTTAAGATGCCAATTTCTTCATGCCAAATGCTGGAGATAAACAGAGTAGGCCAGCAAGAGGCTTTTCTGTCCCTCAGTCCAAAAGCTACATTTATCATTGTCCTTGTTTACGTGGACAGCAGAAGTTTTCACAGCAAAAATAAAGGATATATTTATTCATAAACCTGTGTTTATGTCATGTCTCGTGTCTTTACAATTAACATTCCACAGTTTATACGAAAGCCAAAGGAAAAAGAGTCTCATCTGTTATGCATTGGTTTTTGATTTTAAAGCCAAAAGGAACTTACTGGGCTCAAATTCAACTTGCACCTGTCTGAGCCTTTAAGCTTTATTTCAAAAGCAGGAGGGCCAGCACAACACCAAATGGCAAAGTGACATTTGAAGTGACCAATCAGCGATTGCCAAGAGCAAAAAAAGAACAACTTTTCTTTTTGCAAGCGTCATCATTTCCGATTTCTGCACACCTCACCGCAATTTTGATTTGTCTCTAATAATGCCTGCTGGCGTGTGAACGCTCCAAGACAAGAAGCAGAGAAGTGGGGAGGAGTGTGAAAGAGAGAAGTAGGGGGTGAGAGTGCAAATCCTTTAACTGGATTTAGGTGCTCTTGCCGCCATCAGTGGCCTGCTGGCTGTGTTAAAGCTGCATGCTGTGACATGGCTTATCTGGGGCCACGGGCTGCTCAGGAGCTGCGCCCTGTGGAGGCAGGAGGATGACATGATGCTGCAGCAGAGACTGATGGAGGCAGCAGCACTAGCGGTGATCCTTAATTACCAAGACAGAGGCAGATAAGCTCGAGCCACCTGGCCAGAGGTATGCCGTCTGCTCCCATGATGCATGATTTGATTTTGACTCCGTTAAAACACATCTGATGCCTCCCTTCAAATTCTGACAAATACTGTATCAGTACAGAGACAGTAACTTAGATCTTGGATTAGAAATACTTTGTAAAATTCATTTGTAACTGGACACAATGCATTTTGGCATATGCACTAAATCAAGCATGACATCGATCACTTCAACTCATTGAGGAATCATGGAAATAAATTATTTTAACAGTTTCTTTTCTTGTCATGCTTCAAATATTTTTGGTTTTCCTTTTTAAGCTTCATTTTTTTTAAATATGTTTCATATGTTTCCATTAAAATCAAGTAAAAATAACTAAATAAAATATGAATTAAGTAAGCGAGCACTGTACAAGTGATCAACATTTCAGAGAATTAGTTCTTGCTTAATGTGAAAATACATTTGCAAGTGTATAACAAAATATATCTTAGACTAAAATTTGGATAATTGAAATAGCTTTTACCAAGTGCAACTTTAGAGGATTTTTTGTGTGTCTTTTACCTGCTCTTGTTCTTTGCCAGATTGGGCTCTCTTTCCAAAGATGCAATTCAGGTCTGTTTCACTGCGGGAGGACAGGTCCTTTCCTAAAAGAAGAAAATTACAGAACCACACACAAATAATAATAATAATTAATTTGGCACATTGGATGAAATGTAAAATGATGTGAAATCAGTACCGATGTATCAAAGAGGGAATAGAAAGTCACATTTTCTTAAACACATCCACCCCCCCTCCAAAAACAACCTCTAGGGGTGCAACTGTTTCAACCAGTGTGTGTGTGGTGGTGAGGGGGGCACATGGTAAAGACAGGGGAGGTTTGCGTGGTTCGCTTCTTGCTCCAGGGATAAAAAGGTAAAGAAAAATAAACCAAAGACAAGGTCTGTCACGCCACGCCTCTGGATTCCCATTTTCAAGGCAGGCCTCAAAGACTCCTGGAGCACACAGTCGCCTGTCTCAAGCCCAGGTCCTGTTCGTACAGCTGCATCCTCTTCCTACAGCAGGGCTCTGATAACATTTGGTTATTTATTGCTTTTAAACCTCTATCTCACCAACTCTTGGCTTTGAAAGTCACTGCTCATGCAGGTCTGAGAAGTAAAACCAAGAAAGTTTGCTGGAAACTAAAATAAATGGGGGGGGGGGCCTGCTGTGTTTGTCGTCCACCGGACTGAGGTCAAACATAAAATTATGCCCAACGTGACTTTTCAGGAAGGACTTGTCAAAATTCTCAGGCTTTCAGGCGATAGTGTAAATAATGTTCTGATTAAAAAGAACTCAACTCTACTTTCCTCTTTAATGTTCAGAGGTGGCTGAACGATATTCACGCTGCTGAAGTGTTACTGAAAACATGATGGTTTCCACAGTTGCTGCCGTTTCAACTGTAACTGTGGAAACCATCATGTTTTCAGTGAAACCAGACTAACCAGTGAAACTGTAACTGACAAATACATAAATGTCATAAGTAGATAAACACTCTAATTCCTTAGCAGAGCACAGAAAATTGATGGTGTTGAAACGTATCAATATCTCCTATGTTGAACACAACAATGGAGGTAGATGGATAGATGTGGCGTTTCTGGGGGAACCAACGGACAACAAAAGCAGTTTAACCTGTATCCATGTAATGTAGATATCTGTTTAGTTAAAAGCACAAAAGGTGCACGGCACAGCGGATGGAGAGCTGTAGTTAAACTCTGCATCAACCGCCCTCGCTGGCCTGACAGGTGATAGATGGAGGCAGCAATTAAAACTGGGTTACTGGTTTATGTTGTGGGCCCCCGGTCCTCAGCAGTGGAGAATTTGCTGCTTTCCCCCACAAACAAAGGTCATCAATCGTCAAGCTGGCAGTCAGGGAGCCGGCGTGAACAGGATATCAATAAAAAAGCAGAAGAGAGTGAGGAGGAGGCCTGCACCAAGATTCACAGTGATACCTCAGTGCAATGCTATGGCAGCCACAATATGTTTTTTTGCAGAGCTAATTTCAAGGGGAATAAATAATTGGAGTAAAATATGAGACAAATATTTAAGGAAGAAATTGAGGAGGTTTGTCAGCGGTGGTTTGTTTGTAAGCAGGATAACACAAAAACTACTTTACCGATTTCCATGAAATGTCGTGGAGGAGGTGGGGCAGGATCCATTACATTTTGCAGATCCGGGAGTTTTTAAAGCATTTTTTAACTTGGTGAGATGCTGCTCTTTGGAAGTCTATTCATGAGTGGTTGCAATATGGAGCAGGTCAAATCTGGATCGAGTGAATTGAAATGTGGACACTATTAAAAATTGCTTGTCATTGCTTATAAACTACACGTTCTAATCTTTTTAATCTGAGAGACATAACGGTTGCACTTTGCCTGCTCATGGTCGAACCTCTGCACATGCAGAAGTATGAGGGTAGTACCTGACTTCTTCCATCTCTCATGTAACCAGCTTAGCAACACTAAATCTATTACCAATCCTTAACTTGGCAACAGCTTCACAGGAGAGGAGCCAGTCAGGGGAAGCATGCAAACAGGCGTGGCAGGTTACTTGTTGCTGGGTAACTCTTTGGTGACCCAAGCTGATCCAGACCGCAGACCGCAAATAATAAAAAGGATCAAATAAAATAAAACGATAACTAGATACGGTAAGTCTGACTATTTGGATAATACATTTCCATTTCTCACATCTGAGGTTCACAGTCAAAGTTTAAGCCTGTCAGATCACATAAGACAGGCGGAGAACTGAACTCTCGAGTTTCCAATTCAGTTATGAGTCGTTTATGGAAAAACAGGAAGTGCCAGCGTCCCTTCTGCTGCATGACAACTGTTGCACGCATCTTTGAGTGGAGACAGGTTAAAGTGGTGTTATGTTGCAAAACAGCCAAATTGACAGGTCTACAACTGCCTGGATTTAATTCTTGTGAAAACATTCCTACCTGCGTTTCCCCTCTAAGGTGTTTCACTCTCTGCTTTCTAACACTATAGAGTCATGAAACAGCAGCTTCAGATGCTACTTGCTCAGTTGGTGGTGATAATGGGAGGGATTAGAAGTTAAAGCCCGTGGGATCAGACTTTATTAGTTGGTGACAGGATTGAGTATAAGTGCTTCCTAATGCAAAGTTGATAAAACGCCTTAGTGCACAGTCGACACAAAAAAGATCGAAGGTGAATGACAGACAAAAGGATGAACAGGGATTTGTTTGAGCCACTGTTGTTGTTGTTGTTGTTTGTGACCACTTCATGCTACATTATATATTATTCCAGGATTTCTGCAAGTTTCAACAAACTAATAAAGAAATCATTTGAAAGCATTTGAGTGTTGATGTTCATGAGCATAACAAACCTACCAAAGCATATTCAAGATATAGTACTTAATATTGTCACATATTTAAAACTTTAAGGACTGAAAGTCAGATTATTTAACTTTTTTTAGGATGTTTAAGATTCCACAGAAGGAGATTCTGTGCAAAACTTTGTCCTATTGAGTTTTACGAGAGTGAGAACGGGAAGGGTGTCAGTCGGCACAAAATAAGAAAAACAAGACGTCATCTTTAAACCCCTAACACACACACACTTCATGTCTTAAATGTGACTTGGTGCATCTCATCTGTCAGTAAGATTCTTTTTCTGGCTCCTGCCAAATTAAGATCACAAAAACAGGGTTAGAGGGTTTTGGGGGGGTGGACCGGGGCCACGTTTTATCATGCAGGGTCATCTAATGGCTTGTGTAGCCCCTGGGAGGTGTTGTTTTTGGGTAAACGGACAGCAAATGGACATGCCAGATGCCCCAAACAGGAAACAGGAAGTTGCTGTTGAATGACGTAAATATTAAAAGCGCTTCCAGGTAAGGCAAACGTTGAGATATTCCGTTTTCCCATCTAAGCTGAGCTCATTAATTCTCATAATTTACAGAGGAATTACTTTAACACATATGCATATTTGATCAAGGCTTTGCAAAATTAACGTCATTTAAAAAATAGGTTGGAAGTTTAAAAAAAAAAACGCAAATGCAAGTGCAAGAAATAGCAGATGCACAATCCGACAACCTTACGAAGACATTGCTCATGTAGTCACTTAACTATATTGCAGGCTCAAGTAAAATTCAGCAGTAAAAAATGGGCTTGTGGTTTTTCATTTTGCTCTCCAGTGGTCCTGAACACCAAATTCCTCCTCGTGCCTATCGGTGTACAGGCCTTGACCAGCAAATCTTGACTTCCTGACGTGTAAAGGAGTAATGAAAGTAGAAGGGAAGAGTTATTAATAACCCCCCTTAGCACTGACCGGGTCAACTGACCCAGCGCAGGCTTGACAGGGCTCTGATCGGGGTCTGTGGTCAGAGCCAAGAGCACAAGGTTCAACAAGGAGTAGAAGGAGGCTGTCTGTCCGTCTGTCTGTGTGGGCACATGGTGCGTAGGTGTGTATGTGTGGAAAACCAGAAACAGCGGAGGCACCTATTTGAGTTGGTGGTGGAAGAAAAAAAAACTAACGCAGCTCTCAAATAAGTTCCTTGAAACTGGTTTAGATGAATAAATAAAGATCCAGTCTGGTTGAGTTTGTTGCAGGATGCTACAGAAATGACTTATCAGAGCAAGAAACATTAACTCTGCATTTAGCATCTTCCTAATCCATGTTTATCCCCCTGATCTGTCTTCTCTCAGCTGACTAAGACAAACCCACCTTTGGTAAACTTCATGTAATGGACCCTCTTTTTGGAGGTCTTGGATTTCTCTTCCAAGCTGAAGCCTTTTTGTTCATCTGGTGGAGGCTCTGTGGATAATAACGAAATTTAAACATAAATCACACATGCAAATTTTAAATGTTCAGTATGATCACAACAAACCTCTACCAGCTCCTGTATAACACAAGTCTGTATGTGATTTGCCGACAGGAACAGCAATGATGATGATATTTATTATGTGAGTTATTACCAAACCTTTGCTCAACTAAATGTGGCAGTGTGGCGCCCTCTACTGTTCAACACAAGAACCAACCATACAGAAGAAGTGGCACATGTCAGTATTTCGGTGTTGAACAAATACAGAATGATAAAGAGTAACAATCTGAGTTACCCTTTGCTCTGGCATCACCGTCCAAGCAGGGCATTGTTTTCATCCCTGTCTCTACACAACACCACAAAGACGTATCTCCACAAGATTAAGGAGAAGATCAGTCAAAGGTCAAGGTCAATAAAAATCTGGTCCAAAAAACACCTTTGCCAAAATATCTCTGCAAATAACAGAAAGTCAAGGGCGCTTGAACGCTTCACAAGTTCAAAAACTACAGTCGTGTCCTCACACACATCGCCACATGGAATTAACACCGCAAATAAAGCAGCCTGTGCTCAACAGTGAATAAAATAGATACATTAACCAAACTGTGTGTACACACCATTGCTGTTATTTTGACCATGGCAGTTGTTCAGCTGAGCAAGCAGCTCATTGAAGTCATCTTGGTGAGCAATCCAGTTGTCCTGGCAACAACAGAAAAGAGATGTAATGTGACTGTTAAGTTTTCGTTTACAGAGAATTTCAGACCAAGTAAAACTGGAGCTAAATGTTGATTAATAGATTTAACTAAATTACTGCATCCATACCCAAAGGCTTGGTTTAAGGTTCCCACACAAGTTGTCAGATTGATGCTAATGCTAATGAATGACAACAGTGTTTTAACCAAGGACAATTGGGTGGAATGATGGTGGATGTACATTGGGCTTTATATTATACTGCCACTGATGTTGTTTTATGTGAGCTTGTGAGTGGGATGTATGACAATGTGTTAAGCATTCTGTTGAGTTTCATCTTCATGTCTATGTTTCGCCCGACTGAGACAAATTTCCCCTTGAGGACAATCAAGTCACCGTTAAACAGCTTGTGAGTGGAACTGCCATACGTCTCATAAAAGCTGGAGCACTGAGCTGCGAGTACGCCGGCTGTGCATGGTGCACAGTTTCTGGTTAAAATGTTTGTGCAATTAAGTTCTGATAGCAGCAAGAGAAAGAAACAACACAGACGGAACTGCTGCTGTTTGCATGAAATAAAGTCCCAGTAAATATTTTGGAAAATAATGAACTTGCACTATGGAATCAGTCCTGGAGAAAAAACTATTTTAATAAAGGTGTAATATTATAATGGTGTTTTTACGTCAGGTATTAACCAAAATATCTTAGTATCTGTGCAGCAAGAGGGTCATTCAAATTCATACTGATTTATCGTAACGTTAAAAGGAAAACAGAAATAAACCTAAGACGATAGTAGGCATTCAAGAATTGTGCTCACCTCATAGCTGGCACTGGTTCCAAACCCATAGCTGTTGTTTTTAACTTTTACTTTGATATGGTCGGTGGAGCCTTGCTCAGTCCTGCCCAGGCCCTGAATATAAAAAGGACAAGACACAACATGTGACATGAACGTTCACTAAAGGCACCAGTGTTAGCCCAGCAGGAAACAGCACAGATCCACAGTTTACCTTGCCCTTGGACCAGCCCATTCGCTCCAGCATCTTCTGGCCAAATTTGGAGTCATCGTTGCTCCAGGCGCTGTTCCTGGGGTCAACAGACCACTTCTGCTTCCTCCGGGCTGGAAAGAAAGCCGCAATATTATTACATAACAGTCAGCGAACACAATATTACATAAAGTATCCAGAAAACAAACTCACTGCAAGCTGACCATGATGAGACCATGAACACACACACACACACACACACACACACACACACACACACACACGTGATTACTGTGCAGAATCAAGATAGGGCACACATATGTTCTAAATGTCATAGTCAGTGTACACAGACTGACTAAAGCGACTACACACAGGGATCAGAATCAGCCCTTACACACAGCTGTTACACTCCCACTGTTATATAACCCTGTGTCTCAATCATTTCAATGAACCTGTGTTGCTTTATTAAACCGTCATAACGTTCACACACACTTATTTTAAGTGTTTCAACACATTTGTGACCAAAATAAGTATTTACAGTTTAAAGCATAATCAAAACATTCAGACTCTGGTGTGTTTTTCCTTTATCCATGTTTATATCTGGAAGCTAGACTGCAATTAATGGTGTAGAATGATCCTCAGGATATAGATTATATAATCAGTTTGTGGAGGACCATCACATTTAGGTGAAACACCGGGTTTCACTGGGTCGGTACCATAGACTGTATATAAAGAAGGTCGGTACGAAGGGTCCGTGTGAGAACTGTGTGGTGTCGTGTATGTAAACAGTGACTGACAGCTGTCATCCTCACGTGAATAAGAGAAGATGCGATGAGAAAACAAAGCGACACAGCTGCAGGTTTGTTTAAAAGAGCATTCAGCCATTCAGGACAATGCGTTTAGCTGAAAATGAGCTACAGTGGATAAGATGGACAGCCACAGGAAACACGTGTTCACTCAGAGCGCTGTAGCTAGCGCTAATGCTAGCTACCCGGATACTATACAAACGAGTAAATACTGAATGTTTTCGGAGAAAAGACTATTGACAGCGAGTAGCAGCGGTTTTTAAGAACACGTAACATCGTATCAAACACAATAACTTTGAAGGAAAACAGGAGAATATGAATGAAAACTCTGGAGGAAATTTACGTACGCTCAGCGAGCATGGACATCCTGGGGTCCTTCACCAGCTTGAAGCGAGGTGAGTAGGCTTCCTGTAAAATGCCTGAAGATAATGTTTGACCACGCGGGGTTTTTTTGTGGCAAACATTTCCTTATGAAATACGATCCAACCTGTGATATGTGACACACAAAAATACACGTGTTTGTATTTTTTTTTTATTACAATCATTTATGTTATTGCTGTTGCTTTTATTTGCAGCGCTGCAAGTCATTATTTTTGCCAGCAGAGGACGCCACCTGCAAATTAACACGCACACACACAGGGTCACTCAGGTTCAATGAACTTCAGAGATCTACAATCTGACACTGTAACATTATACAGAAATGAAGAAAAATATGGAAAATAAATTGAGCAATATACTTTTTACTCTATCATTAAATCTGACCCTGACCGTGATACTGATGTCAGCCCACTGATTTATCAGTCACGCTCCAAATCTAACCAAACTCAAACAAAGCATGGCAGCGTTGCACAATGAGTTCTTGCATAGAGCATGGAGCTAGCCAACAAAGAAACAACTTTTTTCACCTGACGCATGTGACAGATTGATGCTTCAAGTACTGACAGAAGTATCACAACCACTCGGGCAGAGCTGGGACATTGCTTTTAACTAAGCATCATTTGATCTGAAATACTGACTAACTCTATTCCACATGAATCTAAAAGTCTTATTATCTTGAACCTGTAAATACCATGAAAATCAACACACTGACTTAGTAAAGAAGCAGCAACTCTTAAGCGATGGTAGAAAGATTTAATGTCCAGATAACAGGCGATAAAAGCTGCCTGAGTAAAATCAGCTGAGGTAAATAGTTGTAATGGTTGTAGTGACAGTTTCTTGGATGTTACTGGACAGTGGCTGCAGGGTTTTCAGGTGTGTAACCCGGAGCAACCACATCTATCAACTTAATTATCTGACTTTGATGAAACAATGGTTCTCTCCAAGCGCTTTACAGTAGGAATGTCGTTTTACAGGTTTAAGTGAGGACTTGGACTGAATGTTCTTGAGTTACGAAAGCTTTCTGGCAACATTTCTTAAAATCAGACTGAAAAAAAACCTTCAGTTCTTTTATGTTGACAAAATGTTTTTTGCCTGAGATAAAGAATAAATATGTTTTTTATTTATGCTATATAAATATTACCTTTGAAATTATGCCCTGGAGAACACCTGACTCAGGACAGAGTTTTTGTTTTCATGGGACAGAGCCAGTGTACAGAGTTAGTATTGTTTTTTAATACCTCTACGAGATGCATCTGCTTTTACTTTTTTTTTTTTCACAAATCTTAGTCCAAGCTACAGATATAGAAATATAATAGTACCCTTAAACACAAATTTAACTCAAATCACTTATGTTTTGTCAGCTATGAAAAATGAAGATATTATAGTTTTATGATTCCAAACACACTAAATACTAATAAAAATACAAATAATAACAACAATATTAAAAATAGTAAAAGTAATATTAATAAATGTTACAAAGTCTATGGCAACCAGAAGTAAAACCAATGACATTTAAAATCAAACCATGCAGTTAAAAGGACAGTGGCCACATAAGAGGTAAAGCTACATACAAATAAAATCTGCATAAAGGTTGTAATGATTAGGATTAATCTAAAACAAGCACTATTTACTGTCCATCACACAGATCCACTTGACTTTATGTGACGTCCCAGACCTCAACATCGTTTCTTTTCTAAAACGGTGAAGGACTAAGTTGTGTGAATCTCTAATCTCACACTAAATCTGTGGTTAAAGTTACCACCTCAAGCACGGGATTAAGACAAGGTTGTGTAACAGGAGACTGGAAGGGATCAGTGACAACTTAATGCACTTGGTCGACCTACAAGGAAGCTGCCAACAAAGCCCCTTCTATTCTGTGGTATCACAGCACCTCAACCTGCCGTACCTGTTTGTTTTCATTATTATTTCCACTAACCTTTTTATTTCCACCAAGCCCTTATGTTAAAGCCATCGTGGCTTAATTTGAAAAAATAATGTATGGTTGCAAAAAGATTATTTACAGGTCACATGCACACACAGTGTATAGGTCAGGTCAAGCGCTTCATTCCAAACTCATAGCCCATGTAGAGATCAGTGATTTAAAGAGCTCGTAAAGGTGACCGTGATCCCAAAGTCAAAATTGATTTGTTCCAGACTGATAGAGCGGTGAAAAGGACATTAGATGTTTGGATAAAGCATTTCCTAACTCAAGCTGAGGTCATTTTGCAGCAAGGCAGCATAAAACCACAGAATCACTAACAATAAAAATAAACAAGAAAAATTGACATTAAAATCATATTCACACATGAATGGAACATAAGAGCATATTTAATGAGGGTCCTGTAAATGAAATTACATTTGTTGACATGTCTTGGTGGTGTGAACATTGAAAAACATAAAATCTTAAATTAGACCTTTTGGTTTGTTTGTTGATTGAACAGTCTCCTGTCTGTCACACGTGTCCTCACATGAGGACCACAGCAGACTGCACCAGCTGAGCTGCCTGAGCCTGTAGCTGTTGAGTGAGTGATTTAATGTACAGCATTGGTCAGTACATTTTTCTTGGGGCCCGAGGGCGGGAGGTTGGTGTTTGGGTCTTGGCCTCCATCCCTATAGCAACAGGAGTCCATGTGGAATAACAGCTGTTGCACAGATTGTTATGGCGTCTGTGGCCCATTGCCCAGCAGCAGCCCCTCACCCTCCCTCGTCTTCTTTATGTCTCGTGTGCAAGCAGCTGCACGCTGTGAGCGAATCTTATTACAGGACGGCGAACAAAACACTGGGGCCCAGGCAAATGAGGTGGCCCTCTGATTGGTCAATGAGAGATGGGCCTGCTGCAGCGTGTGCACACCCAGCGAGGTGTCTTACATAAGAGAACCAGGTCCCCCTTACGAGAACATGGAGTAAAAAAGTGCGGGGCCTCGTCAGATGGCTCTTTGTCTCTGTTTCAAAACAACCTCCTTCCTCCACCACCCTCCCGTGTCTCTTCTTGGAACGTGCACACACATGTTCAGTCACATTCACATGCATGCATATGAAAATATTTCTCCTCTACATGTGAAGTATGCATTGCACGTGCCTGCACATGCCTTTGTGTTGTAAATTCTTACACATATGTTGAGTTTGCCTCCGTACACTGGTGCACAGTGGGTTACACTCTCAGTTTTACACTCACTGCTAAATGTCGACTAAAAGAGACTCTTGTTTCCAGCAGCAGGAAAACTGAATTAGATCTACATTCGGCAGATTGTAAATCCAGTGCAAATATTGATTTTCATTTGCAATTCAGCATTTCTGTCAAGCGCCTGAAGGCAGAAAGCAGAAAGCAAGGATCTCACACTCATATACACCAGGGAGGACATAAATGACATAAAAAGAGGATACTGACAATTGAAATTGAAAATGCTGCAATCTGATGAACAAGGTTAACTAACGGGGCTTTCTCATGAGGTGCTGACATTATTTTGTGGTCCCTCTGCTGTGGAAACTGCAAAAACATTATTGCTAATGTTAATTTGATGCATCCTGAATCTATTCTTACTTGTTGGAGGTGTGTGAAAAAGCTTGCACACAATTTCTGTAGAGTTGCATTTGGAACATTATGACTTTTCATGCTTGCCGTAGAGCACACTCGCAGATACATTCATTCACAGGAGGAGAGGGACTAATTAGTGAGGATTGCTGATGCAGTGTTTGGCTGAGAGAATGCCCTGCACGCTCTCCTGCAGGCTCAGTGAACAGAAAATGTGTTTCACCTTACTCTGAATTCAGCTGAATGAGGTGAAACGCAGACGATCCATCTGCTCTTTCTCTCTGCGGCACAACTGCGACACAAAACCCCAGAGCAAGGTCACCTGGAGCGGCTGCAAATTACTGACACAGAGAAATTGAAGCGAGGCCATCGGGCGTGCAGCTGAAGGACACCGCTGTCCTCGGGGTCACACTTTACAATCCCATTTGCTGAGGGAACTACAGAAGCTTTGCTTCAATCTATTATTGATGGGCTGATGGGGGGACCTTCCTCGGCTGGGATGTTGATTTGCCCATTTGTTCCTCTGTTTTAATAAACATAAGGTTTGCAATGCCTGTTGCTTGGTCACTGTATTTCCTCACTTGCTTTATGACACCTACTTCCCTCTGTGACATTTGACTGTGTTGTTGCATCAGTTGAGTCCTGAATGAAACCGAAAGCAGTGAGTTGTTCATAAAAGATTTGAGTCGGTCAGTGCAGCGGCTGTGTTTGTATGACTCAGTTGCCATGAGTGAGTGACAATAGAATGTATATAAACTGTGCATATACACAGCACGTGTGTAAAGCTCAGATCTCTAGAAACTTTAACACCAGTCCATTCCTTCCCTTGTTTCCTCAATCATAACTTACTATTTCAAAGTGGACATTTCAGGCTGCAGGAGTCACAAATTGCATGTGTCCTACTGCATTGCTACATAACCAGAGACTTTTGGCAGGAAGCTTCAACCCTTTAATCAACAGCAAAGGTGGGTCTCTATCAAGCAAAGCAGGTTTGTGCTGAAATCTTGACAGCTGTGTTTTCTCAAAACTCTGCACAGGCTCATCCAAACTCTTGGATTCTCCACTTGTGGACACATAAAGTTATTTTTAGATTATATCTCATCTCTCAGCTGCAAACAGCACAAGATCAAACTTAAACACACGCGGCGACTTGTTCATGAAATGTTGAAAATCAATTCCAACAGTCAAACTTATGGTGAAGCTGATTGATTTGTTGTCGAAGGTGCAGATTATTGCACTTAAAGCTTTACTCCACGAAATGACTATTAAACTAATGCACTAATTTGACCTGTAATTCTGCATAAAACTGTCCACATTGAATGACTGGAAATAAATGAATCACTATTTGGATTCTGTGGATCCATGTATCCACAGAGTTGATGTTTTCAGTCTGACCGTGAGAACATTTTGTTCTCAAATGTTGGTCATGGCTTGGTCTCCACCGCCCTGTGGTTATAACCAACGTAACACTCGCTGTTTGCCAACAGTTTGTTTAAATAAGAGAAAATAGATACAAATTGTGAAATTGAAGTTTCTTCATTTTGGGAATGTGTGAAAATGCCTGAACAGGGAAAACGTATGTAAGTTTAAAGGTTTAATTGTCAAAGCTTGTTGTGTAAATTAAAGACAGAACTTTCATAGAAACAAATATTTATTTTACAGAAAGTTGAACAGAAACCACAAACTGTGGCTGAATGTAAATGTGGTGTACAGTATCATATTTCCCTTTTGTGTCAAAAGAAATCACAGTTGATGGAGGGGAAAAAATATAACAAAAAAAATGCACAGAAACTTAGAAAAAATGTTTTTTAAGAAATACTCAATGAAGCTCCCACACATTAAACACCAAGAGACAGAATAAATAATATTACGTGGAATAAACAGAAGAACAATTCTTAAGAATTACCATTCCGCGCTGCTCTAAACACAGATGCACAGAAACTGCCCCCACAGGCTCATTTTACTCAGTCAGACAGAGATTCATCTAAAGTGCAAGAAAACAATTTGTGTATTTGAATAACCCACAATCAAAAGTAACTTGATTTAACCCCCAGGAACTTTTAGTCGCTCAAATGTAGATTTTCTTACATCCATGGAAATTTAGCAAGACGAGGACCCTGACTTTTTTGTTTTTCTGAAGAAAACAAATACACAATACAACATTTCCTGTTTGACTTGCTTCTTTTTCTACCCAGAAATCATTCACAAACATCTTTGACAATTCATTAACATGCAAAGCCATCATTTATCCATACAAGCTTTAACAGGGGATGTCGATACTGGATGTTGCTGTGAAGCTTCCGCTGACAAGACTGCTCTTCGTCCAAATGTCCGAGCAGAAAGAAGGGGAAGGAGAGCGGAGCAGGGGTAGATAGGCAGGAGCAGGGAGGATTGTCTAGCCTGCGTCGACTTCTACATTCTGGAGACACGATAGCCTTGTGCCAGGCAAGCAGAGCCCTTCTGATTTTACAGAGAGAAGTGAGAGAGCAACTATGTACAAGCCACGTTCCTCTAATTCTCTTTGGTCAGTCTATATTCTCTGTTCAAAGAACACTCAAAGACCAATGCTGCGCTCAGTTAGCACGAGCCATGAGCGTGTCTGCGCCTAAGTAGTTGAGCATTGTCTGGACGAGTTCCGGGAGGTCGTAGTCGTGTTTCCAGCCCCAGTCCTTCCGCGCGTTGGAGTCATCGAAGTTCATTGGCCAACTGTCAGCTGGAAAACAGAGAGGGGAGATAATATTTATCAAAAATTTGGAACTAAGATTTGACATTTATCGACAGATTTCGACAGTTTTCTTTTATAAACTTTACTTGTGACTAGAACATTTTAAAAGCAGATGCCTCAAGACAAATGCAAGGAAATTAAATCAAATTCAATATTAATTTGGCCACAGTTTAGTTTCATAATATCGCAAAGTTGAAATGTGACTTACCGATTGCCTGTCTTACGTGGTCGACATCATACGTGACCTCCAGCTCAGGCATCTGCTTCTGCAGCTCCTGGGCCAGCTCCTCGGGGGTGAAGCTCATGGCGTTGATGTTGTATGTCCTCATGCTCAGCGTGTCAGCCGGCGCCTCCATCACCCCCAGAGTGGCGCGGAGGCAGTCGTCGATGTACATCATGGGCAGCCTCGTGTCAGCTTTCAAGTTGCACTCAAACTTGCCGCTTTTGATCGCGTCGTGGAAAATCTGGACGGCGTAGTCTGGTCAGAGAGAGACCATAAACGTTACTGGGCTAGTTCTGGAATAAACCCTAGTGCAGCGCAGTTCAGAAAGTGTTTGAATTAATGTTATCAAAGTTGTTCAGACAAGTAAAAATATGGAGATAGTGTTCCACGTATATCTGCAAGCCTAAAAATACAACGTGCAACGACAACTCTGCAACAAGTCGGTTACACAACTAACTTGTGACATGACAGGAATAGACATTCATTAAAATTGAGACCTTGTACACGGTCTGGATTTCATCTGCCTCACCTGTTGTGCCACCTCCAGGGACGGAGTCAGCAGAGATGATTCCTGGGTAGCGCAGACAGCGGAAGTCTAGTCCGTAGCGGTGGTGGTAGTACTGAAACATAAAAAAAACAAATCATTTACTCAGGAAACCTAATTTCGTGATAACTTCTCAATGAACCCAGGATAATCATTTGACTGTGGTACTGATCTGAGGCCTCACCTCTCCCATCAGCTCAGCGTGAACTTTGGAGACGCCATAGATGGTGCGGGGCCTCTGCACACAGAGATCTGGCGTAGGGTTACGGGGTGAGGTGGGACCAAAGGCTCCGATGGTGCTGGGGACAAACAGGCGTAGGCCATGCTCCGCTGCGATGTCCAGGATGTTGTGAAGCCCTTAAAAAAAACAAAAAAATAAAACACAGACCCCTTTCAAATTAGCACATTATGAGGACTAAAAAAAAAAAGAGAGAAAGAGATAAACAGAAGTCACAATATCTCTCACCGGTGATGTTCACAGAACGAGCCAGGGCCACGTTAGCCTCGCCGACAGCGCTGAGGAGAGCGCTGTAGTGAAAGAGCCAAGTGATGCGATTGTTCACCACGATTTCCCTCAGGTTCTTGTAGTCGAGGATGTCAGAGTAGATGAAGGGACCTATGGGCGACAGACACCGCAGAATTAAATTTCATAAATCAACTTTCTGATTCGTCTATTAGAGGCATCAACTCGTGGAACTATTTTTCCAGGATGATTGCCAAGCTTCTGATCGGCTGCACATCTGTCTCTCATCATGACAATGTGTTTTTCTTTTTAAAGATTCACCCACATAGTATTTTAACGTTTGTTTCTTTCTACATGTATTGTTGTTGACTGCTACATCCACTACGTCTTCCCAGAGAGCTCATTACTGCTGCCACTGGGGCAGCACCGTGTGTCACATATTGATTCGGGGAAAATTTAACTACAGCATTTTTCAGGGAAATGTGACGTCCTCTTAAGCACATATAATTAAAATCAATATGAACTGGAGAGGCCTCAGCTGCTGGTTCCTTATCTCGTGTTTTCAGACAGAGACATAAAAACACTGTTGTGTTCCACCTTTAATTAACTCTTCCATGTCCTGTTTTTGCAACATACATGAGATTTTAAAGTGTCTGTGGTATTAGTCATGAATTCATGCAGCAGAGGAACTCACCGTTGTCCTACAAAGACTTTGAGTTGAAGTTTTTGCATAAAAAGCAAATGGCAAATAAATGAAAATTGAATCTGACAAATCCTTGAAAATCTGACGTCACTTGAACGGAAAAACACTTTGAAAGCTTACTTCATCTGCGACAGATTAATTTCAGACGGCAGAGATCAGATGACTGTACGGTATTTGGATTCACTCACCGCTGTGGAAAACGCTGCTCGGAGGTTTTCTGATGTCAGACAGGATGACGTTGTTCTTTCCAAACCTCTTCCTATGAAGAAGGAAATTGTTATACAGCTTGAAATTGGATCAGAAAATTCTCTACAGTAGGTTAACAGATTTGGATGTCTGGGAGGAAAATGGCTCTTTTTACCTTAACAATTTGGCGAGCCCCACCCCGAGCTGACCGAGACCTCCTGCATTTGTGGGAGAGAGAGGGAGAGAGAGAGAGAGAGAGAGCGAGAGACACGGTGAGCATCATTACACATCAAGTCATCAGTGCTGGTTTCCAGGGAGACTGGAATAAGTGAAGAGAGTGGGCCATAAGAAAAGAGGTCACAGCACTTGACGCCTACACTCGTTTTTTAAAACTGGCATCACATTCTGCTTTCTTTGCCAAACACTGCTGCTTCTCGAGCCCCTGTGGAGCACATTCTAAACCAGATAATGACTTCATTTCATAAGAAAACACTTTAAATTACAAGGCATTTTCAAAAAAAATGCTGTCGGGCCTCTTTTTAGAAAATGTTCAGCAAACTCCCCAAAAAGGTGACGTTGCCTACCTGTAATGAGCACCTTGGGGTGGTCTGTTTCCGAGAAGGACACAGAGTGGAAACTGGCGTCGGACGTCACCTGACGAGGGGAGAAGCTGATGTTGCGCACGGCCACCGTCAGGGGCTGACAGCTGCACCCCGGGGTGCTGAGGGCCTGCTTGGCCACCTTGCTGAAGAGTCTGATGACAGGCATGATGGTATCTGCGGGAAAAGAAAAGATAGTGTTAAAGGTTTGGTGTGGAGGAATCCATAGGCCTCAGGAAAATCTAGAGCTTTTTTCCCCTTATGTAACATGAAAGAAGCTGCACTGGTTTACTAGAAGAAAAAAAACACTTTGGGTGTAGATTTAAATGCATTTGACTGGCACAGTCTGTTGGCCTCTTGCTGCAACGTTTTTGGCCAAAGCATAAAGATCTGTGTGAAGAGAGTCTGGCTCCTCTCCAGCCCTCAGGCGCCACGAGACAGGACCAGAAGGAAGAGCTGGTGCTGAGGGAAAACACTCGATGCGCAACAAATGTACATTCATCTGCAGCAAAATGGTTGAAATCCACAATTTCAAGCAGTAAAAAATCTCCCATTCAAGAAAACGCGTCGGCAGGGAGGACACGTAGGCTTCAGTCACAATAGATGCAGTGGCTTTTGTTTCCAAATAGGCGCAGCGCGGCAATCCAGCTCATGGCAACACCAAACACTTCTCCTGTGCCTCAGTCTGCTCAATGTTACAAAACTTTAATTGGATGTTGCTGCAGACTAACAGTTCATCATGCAATTATTCTTTTTTTTTTTTTTTTTTAGAAACGTACAGGACACATACACAAACACCGTAGGTATGCAGCACTTAAAAATGATAACCCCTTTTCCTTCAGAGAATCACACTAAGTTTCCTCTGAAGCAGAACAAATTGATATTCAAGTTTTTAATTTCTTCGTCTCTGAGCTGCTTCAACTTTTGCACCGAGTACCTATTCACAGATGGACTTACCGAGCGTGTTGGGAGCTTCCAAAAAAGGGAGGAGGAGAGTGACTTGAGTGTATTTATACTGCCCTGCCTTCGCATCGAACCAATCAGGACGAGAGGGCGTAAAGAGCCATTCAGCAGCAGGCGCTAAATGTCACTATCAGCTCCACGACCACAAGGACGGAACATGGGATTCATTTCTTTGTATTTAAAGATGACTTAGGAAATATTTAGCCTTGGACTCCTTACAGGGGACTGGCTATTCGGAGTCAGGAACACGGGTCTTTTAAAACTCACGTGTTATTATAAGAGATAACTCAAATTAAGCATTGGCTGTCAACTTGATCCTTTCGTGCGTAAAAGGGTCAGTGCCACAGACGATAAGTGACGTGGCACTGACCCTTGGCTCTGGTCACCGCATGTGCAGGTCATTGTTGTGCCAACACGGTGTTACGTAGACACCATGTAAGCCAATGGAGCGGAATAAGGAGGGGGGGCTCAGCTTAGAGGCGCCCCCTGGTTTTGCCGAGGTGGCGAGTCAAGATGGATCTGACGAGAACTGTGAATCATTTAGTTTTTTAAAAGATGTCGATCTCCATTTAGTTCAAGCGGCTCGACCACGTGGACCTCGGGGTGCTGAGGGTGGGGATGGTGTGCACGCGTGAAAGGACGATTAACAAAAAAATGCGAATGACCGAGAAGAACCGAGGGATTTATATGATTTGTTTTAACACAGGCGCGTCTGCAAAACCGGACAAATGAAACCAGGCCGGCGCGAGGAAGAGGAGCAGTCCTGGCACAGACCGGCACATTTAGATAAGCTGCTTATTATAGATGAAGTGTTTCCTCTGGCGCAATAAGTGTTAACGTGATATTTACGTTAACACTTTAATAATACTAATAATAACCACAACAGTAAAACACATTTCAACCAAATCCAATAAGAAGCAGCACGTGTTCATCGACCCCGGCTTCTAAAGATGGATGGATTCATTCATTTGAATCTTCTCCACACGAGCGGACTAGTTCGTGAAATGAAGGTTGGAAATGTACTCACGTGAGAGGAAGCAGCCACAAAGAGAATCCTGAGCGTGGGTCCTGATGCTGTTTCGTCCTGCGAGCGGCTCCTCAGCTTGTGACCTGATGCCGGTGTTATCTCAAGCAAGTGTTGCATCAGCTGCTTCTATATATCAGCGGCCATCTGGTGTCAGCGGAAGCCGGTTCTCCGCGGATTGGTAGAGCCCCGGAGGTGCGGTCCTCCCTCTTAGACCACGCCCCCCCCC